CGAATCGATCGGCCAAGTCCCATCGCTTTCTGCTGCAAGTCAAATTGGCACCGGCAGCCATTCTGACGGCTCTATCAGAGAGCCTCGCTGCAGACTGAGGACATAACCTACGCTCGCATGCAAGTGAGTGTTACTTTTGGGTTACTTTTTAATATTTAATAATTTCAGTACAATCCAACAATATCATGTCTTAAAGGTCCCCTATTATACTGTTTTTCATCAATATATTATAGGTCTCAGATATATACAAACATGTCTCTGAAGTGTTTTGCTCGAAACACCAGACAGATTATTGCAGCATCCCATAATCCCCTCTGTTTCAGCCCTGTTTCAAAAGTGCTGATTCTCTGTCTGTTACTTTCGATGAAAATAAGGAGCCACTCCCCACGGCCCTCTGCGAGATGATTGGTTAAAAAAAAACACAATGTTGCTCTAGGAGGAGATTCAGGTGATAAGGTGGTTACCTTGGTTGCTGATTGGCTAATGGTTAGACAAGCCAAAAAAATCGTTATGACATCATAAAGTGGCCAAAATCTGATCAGCCCATTTTTATATAAATGGATCAGGACAAAAAGTGAGCAAATCTTTTTTCCTGAGACTTTCAGAATCTCTGTACACAGAGGGGACACATGTTTATGTATAAAAGACATGAAAAAGGATTTTGCATAATAGGTGACCTTTAAAATGAAAGCGGGAAACACCAAAGTGAGCCCAGCTTGGCTTGGCCAGCTATAGCCAACAGTCAAGTCACATTTCATTGAACCATCGACCTCCACCAGTCAAAGATGGACGCATGCTATTATCTGAACAGAAACATCCACAACTGATAGATGAAGGTCTCATTGCAGGTGTGATTTGTTGAATCTGACTGAACCCTGAGGAAGAGCCAGGAAGAGGAGCTAATTAATCCACTCAGCAAATACACACGGAGGAGAAAGCAACCTCAGCCATAAACTAGCGAACATTGATTAACTGCAGTCAGTGACTGATTTAAGCTTCTGACCTGAGTACTGGTAGTCAATCAATATCTTTGATTAGACCTTGAATAACTGAGATGCAGATGGCAGCAAATTAAACTAGTGTGTCGAATTGTGTACTTCATTTGATCGTTTATGCTGGAAGAATCCTTTTAAAATGTGACCCAATGGCACATGAAGACACATGGCGATATGACTCCAGCCAGAATGATTTAGAAGCCGACCATGGGTGTGTGTTTGGCGAATATTGTACCGAGCATACTGATGGTGACATGAATAGTATTACATAGACCCGTGTACGTGCACTGCGGTGATGCATAACTGAAATAGTTGCAGAAGCATTTTTGGTCACTGGAAGAAATTGTCAAGCGAGATGCCAAAAGTCAAATGGGACATAGAGTGCATGGTTAGCATCAAATGAGCCCTCTCTTGTTCAAGTTCAAGTGAAATTCTTGATCAGTGTTTAAGACTTCTGTGGATATTGGATGTCACATTGAAATCATGTGTAACCCAATACCTGCTGCTAACGAATGACATGACTGCTGGCTGACCTTATCACCAGCAGGGATGTGTGAGCCATAGCGCAGTGTGCTACGTGTTTGTGGTGCGTGTGCAGATGGATTTAGCCACGCAGGGCAATATAACATGGACCGCAGGGCCCCAGACTACTCAAGGACAGTCGTTGCAGTTCCTCAACCAAGATGAAGTCACTGGAGGAAAGCCGACTGCACTCAAGTCGAAAATGTTATTACACTCCTGAAATATTCCAATAAGCTGGTACTCTGCCCGAATAAACATCATCCCACACTGTTGCTGCACCTAAAGTAACAATGTCTTAAAATGCTACATATCTGGTACTTTTTGGGGATTAGGCAGAAGACATACCATTTTCATATAATATCATTTGCACTTTCTTTATACATTTCCTTTTAATTGGTGTCACATAATGTTTACAAATTCATGTTTCCCATTCTTAAAATATTAAATAAACTCTGATTTATAAATGATTTACTTGACTATGGGAAAAAGAAAAGGCTTGATTCTAAAATCCAAGACGACATGGAGTTGATGTTAAACTCCTGGAAAAGTGATAAATATGTTTTTATTGAACTTTAGAAAACCACTGTTTTTAAATGCTTACTAAATTATGACTATTTTATGTTATTTGATGCCACATTTTCAGTGGTTTTAAAGTTTTGCTTTTAACGCACAAACAATATTCTTGGAGGCACAAATCCCAAAATCAGATATCTCAAAACCTCAACAAATGGAACAAAACAACTGTCTGCACGGTAAGACACCACAAAAAGCTTTTAGAAGACATTTGATCTAAACTAAAACTATATACTGACATTGTTTTGAGTTTGCCAAACTGCAATTTCACCGAGGTTTCCTTCCCCTTTGATCTGGCCTCTGTGGCTGTGGGTGCAGTATTGTTTTTTCTCATACACTTAGCTATATTTCATCCCCACAGCTCTAAAGGGCTTCACTTTCACTATCTTTTAACCTATCAGCCAGCATTGGTGGTCTGAGGCTGGTGTTTACTGGAGCACTGCATGACCTATGCTGGATTATTCCTGCAACAGTTTGAGCATGCAAGCGTGACGGGGAGAGGCTCTTATGTCATAGATACCCTATCTTGTCAACAGCAGAGGAAAATATATGATCGAGAGGCTGCTATGGTGGGGGGGCAGAATAGAAGAGGGATGAAGGGTTTAAGAGCAAATTGGAAAGCAGAGAGTCTGGAGCGGAGAGTTTTTGAGTCTGCTGCGTGAAGTTGTTGAATTCACTGTTCATATAAAACTCAGTCTGGGCAGATGTCACGGTTGTTTCACTCCAGCAATGGACATGAAATTACAGCAAGGGGATCTTTTTATCATTTCAGTGAAAGAGCGAGCGGGACTGATGCAATTTAAGTCTGAAAATAGAATTTCATCAAAATTAAAATACTCCACTGAACTCTCAAAACTGCCCGCACTAAAGACGAGTTCCAATGTAGCCTTCTGCTGGGAACAGGCTGAAGAAAATACAGTCCAATTGTTCGATTCAGCACGACGGAGAACCGCAGAACAATGGAGCAGTATGTCACATCGGATGTGGTATTATCTGCAAGTGTAAAGTCCAGCCTGAGAAGGCCTCATCTCCGCAGACCAGCGGGTGCTGACAGGCTGAGATGCGAGGTGGATGCTCCAGTAGGACAGGTAGGTGTACAGTTACCACACGCAGCATCTGGATATCAGTACAACTGATCGTCTGCCTCTCTAGAACCTATATAACATGCACACTTTGTTAAAGCGCTGGCAGGATAAAAAGGGAAAACGCCTATATGTCTGCACGCATGTCTAAAACAGACATTACGTTTGCCGTAATATCGCAAATCCCTGATAAAGTGACTTAAATACCGAATTTCATGGCTTCCTTAAAAGCAGTGCAGATGAGCTCTGTGTCTCCAAGTCCTTCATGAGTGGAAACGCAAATAAAGTGTTGCTATCCAGCTGTCGGCGGAGAGTCTGCCAGCTCAACGTTTATTTTCCCAAACCCAGGAAACCCCTCTTCAAAGCTGTCATGGGAAGTGCATCCATCCTCCAGTTTCCAAAAGACATCCCCAAGATGACGAAATCAAAATGAAACACTCTTATTAGAAAATATTACAGACCACAGAGAATGGTAATTTTTGCCACTATGGCTAGTAAGAAAATATAGATCCACAAGAAGAGAAAACATGCAGCTACAGTGCAAATTAATTACATTACATTACATGTTACTTGTTAGACGCTTTTATCCAAAGCGACGTACATACTCAATACTGTGGGCAATCCCCACATGAGCAATTTGGGGTGAAGTGTCTCAGGGACACAACGACATGCTGACTGCAGTGGGGTTTGAACCTGCTCTATCCACTGCGCCACACGCCTCTAATTGCTAGGGAAAGCTACAATTTCCTGTAAATCAACAAAGCCTCTGTTTTTCTAGACTCTAGTCAGTGTTTCCTTTTAAAAAACACAAACCACTGCACCTTTCCTAGCTTTTGTGAGCCATTAATTCCCCTTAATGAGGGCAATCTTTTCACAAAGCAATCGCAGTTCCAAGCAGGACCTCCGGAGCTGAGTCATAGCCGACAACAACAGGCTTTATATACACCTTGTTCATTTTTACTGCAGTACGTGGTGTAAAAGCAATTCTGTTGCATTCAGTCAGGGGACCTTTATAAAAACAGGTATAAACGTTAATTCACTATTTTTACCTTGTTGGTGATTTAAATGCAGTCAATTGTTCCACGGAAATGGTACAATCCTGACACATTACCGCTTAAGTGCAGAACTGGAAATATAAGATAAAAGCTATCCTGTCTCTGTCCAACGTTTTATTTTTAATCGTCTCTCAGCATCTCATTGTATTTTACTTTTACAATTATAAATATGTCACTTTACAGGAGCTTAAGACACTCTAAATGCTGTTTCACTGTGACTTTAACAGACAGATATAAAAGCGTGTCAATCTTAGATCTGTATCTTTACTAGAAAAGGAATATGTGTGAGTTAAACAATCCGCAAAGACCCCGAATAGCGATCCGCTGCTGTCATGCACATCAAACACATGGCACAAACCACCATGCAAATATAACCAAAACATTGAGAAAGCCTAACGTAATATGGACAAAAGCATGAGTGTAATTGTATTAACCAAAATGTTTGGGACTTAATAAGATAATAAGATTGTTAGATTAAATAAAAATGATGGCATTGAGTTTGTGTAAGAAAAATGCAAATCAAATCATACACTCGGATGGAGATCAGCAGAGAAATGCCAGGCACGGAAACACAAAGCCGCATGAGGAATAACCGGAGGAGATTGAACACAATCTCTTCCCAAGAAAAGGACAACAAAGAGAGTAATGAAAGCGTTCGGGCCAAGCACCTCCGCATCATGTTTCCTCTCCGAGTGTCAGTCAAACTGACCAAGTCAAAGGTTAAAGAAGTGGGGGGGGGGCCTCATCCTCCAGGGACCTTTTATAATCCTGACCTGTAGTTTCAGGTGGTTGGAGGGCCACAGTAAAGCTGGGGAGGAGGCCCAGCTCTTCATCAGGACACATTGTTTTTATTACCGTTTGATCTTGAAGGGTTTAACAAAGAAGCTGGAAATACCAGCATGCTAACAACCGGCTTTGTCCTCAAAACGAGTCATTAGCTGCTTTGAAATAAACAGCCTTGCAGTTATACTAAGACGTACATATAGTATTCATACAAGCAGTTCTTATAAATATTTAAAAGAAGTTTTCCTCTGACATTACAGGAGTTTTAGAGAAAACGGATCGAATGCAGGTTTATAAGCTGAAGGCTGTCAATTTAAATCCCCAGACTGTCCGTGAAAATACAGAATGTGTGGAGAAAGTAAATGAGAAACTCTCTCCTCTCCCCTAACTTTCTTATTTCAAAGTTCCCTTGAGCGAAACACTTAACCCTGACTGAGCCCCTCAGAAGACGGATAAAGGACGATGGTTTTAGTGGACACCTGGGTAGGATATATTCATGACTCTTGTGTCATTAAAGCCTGTTTCGTATATGCACTGCAACCTTGAAATAATCTATTCATTACCTGGAGAACGCAACTAACGGACATCAAACAGATTTGTTTCTGTTTCTATTTGTGTATTCATTTGTTTTAGGTTCATTTAACCACCATTGGAAATAACCAGGCTAGCTGTCTCCAATAGTTATGCTAAGCTAACTAGTTGCAGGCTGTAGCCTTTCATTTACAAAATAAATATGAGAGCTGCCATCCTCTCATTTTGTCTTTTGGCAAGAAAGCAAAGTCTTTCCCCAAGAACTATTTCTTTATGGTAATTATAATTGCATGAATTAGGAACATGCTAACTGCCAACGTAACACTAATAGATACATAGTTAAAGGTGACATTTCCAAACTCCAAAAACATTTCCAGTAAAACGGGATGTTTGGACAGGTCATAATACGAACGGGTGGG